TGCTTTATATTTTATATTTTAAAAGAAGCCACCTGTAAATACTATTTTCTTTTGCAAAATAACAAAAAGAACAAAAAAATTTTAAAAAATTACAGTAAAACAAAGTAGTTCTCAAGTGGAAAAGTTATCATTCTCAATGTCCTTGAGTTACTCCTTTCTTAATCAACCTCTGTCACATTCTGCTTCACCAAACTTGGTCCACTTAACAGTAGTATGATTTTTTAAGACTCATTCAACAGCTTAATTATTTCTACTATATTCTGAGGTTTGACAGAATTTTCTGTACTGTTGCCATTATGACTAAGGCAGAGGAGATGTGAATAAGAGAGTATTCAGTGCAGTTAGAATTTGTGCCATTTCACAAATCAAAGCCCAGTAGGTATAATGTTCACAGAGTTTAAATGAGTTATGTATAATGGACTGATTTAACTTCATGTGACAAAAATGCTTTCTATAGTCTATCATTTAGGACAGTTTATAAATACTACAAAAATATTGTATCGTCAATGCGACCAAATCTTCCCTGAATTTCTTAAAAAGTGGAATTTTACTTAGAATGAAAACTGTTGTTCATCAAAGGAGAAAATAAATACTTACGATGATGTAGTCATAGTAATACAGATACTCTAAAATATAGACTCTTAAAGCACTTTTGATATTACCTATAACTGATTAAAACTGTTTAAATTTCTTATACAAATTATGTAAGATTTTTGCAAAATCATTACTCAAAAAAAACCTGATTATGGTTGAGTGTGGAATATATAAACAAAGTGAACTGCCACTTATATATATCAGAACACCTCACATACATCCTCTGCCAAGTCCTGGCTCCTACAGTACACACAGGTGTGTCAATCATGCAAAACCACTTATAGTTCAATACACCTAACAAGTCATTTGACCTTATATCAGCTTCAAATTCAGTTCTGAAATACGTGTGAAGGTGGGTTTACTTTTAGTAGAGAACTAGGTGCTTGTCAACCATGTAGTACTCTAAATATTCATATAGAATTACATGGTTTTATGTCCAAGGGCTGAGTATCTTTGTATTAAATAAAGGCTTATAATAATCTTCTCTTCAAAAGATTTTTAAAAAATAATTTAAAAACCTCAAAAATAGAGAAAACAGTAGTATCATAAAATAATTTAAGTGAAGGACTTCAGACATCTCCCTTAGACCCAGTGAGTGCACACAGTGAGAGTAAGTATAGAGTACTGTTATTTAAAAAGTTAGCCTTTCGGTTTGCTGACATTGCATTTCAAATAGTGACAGGACTGATAAAGACACATGTAACAATGAAAGAGCCATGCATGGAATGTGCTGTCATTTTCCAAATACAGTAAAATCTTCCTCTAATATCTTCAACTACCTCAAGGCACTGGAGTATTAAGAAGGCCAATAATAATTGGAGTGAAACAAAATCATAAGAAATCTCTGAAAAGGGGGCACGCAAGAAAAGATGAACAGAAGAAAAACTACTTTAAAATAGTCTTTAGAACTATCTTAGACATTAGCAGTATAAGTTATTAATGGGATAATGCTTTTTCTTTTTTAAACTTCCCATCACTAGAAGACTTGCTGTGATATAACAAGACAGCATTGTATATGCTCGCACATAACACAATGACATGGAATAGCATTCTCACAGATAATCACTGAGCTTGGGGTTTATTTTGTTGATGAATAATCAATAAAGATAATGTATACAGTAGTTAGAAGTCTTTAAGGCTCTTTCATTACGAATGATTCTAAGTAAATGTTATCAATATCTCTGGAATGGCATTTTACCTCTGATGTGGACAATGGCTATGCCCCATATTTACCATTGGTATTCAAGGTAACTGTGTGCAGTGGGGAAGTCTTTCATTAATTCATGGGTGTATACTTAGTGTAAATTCAGCACATTTCTCCCACTAACATTAGACTGCAATCCTTTTAATTAGTAGGTAATAAATGTGCCATAAGAGAAACCTTAAAAAAGTCTTTTTCCCATGCTTGTGATTCTCATCTTGTGATAAAAAACTTAGAAAACAACCCAATGTCAATAAACCGAAAATATCACTCCTCAATAAACATAAATAATTTATAAAAGGGTCCAAGGGCATACACAGGACAGAAATTACAAATGTTGAAAAGGAGAAAAATGAAGACTTATTTTCCAGTCACAGGTTAGTCAAAAAGGATTATATTCAAACAGCTGGATCTCATATCACCACAAAGAGATAGTTTACCTTCAGATAATATATTTTAGCAGCAAATAACAAAAATCAAAGGATCCATTTTGGCAAGAGAATGTAAGAATAAAAGGGAACTGATTTTCTAATTTATAAAAAAATAATCCAACTACATGAAAGTTATCTTCACAGTCCTTACTTTGTGGATTTCGGCTAAGTACTTGACATATTCATGCTCATGTTTACACAGTGGCTCAACTATTATAAAGAAAAAATGGAAACTAAATCTTCAGTTTTCTCCAGAAGGACACAGGAGGCATATATTCCTTTACTTCTCTCATTAAAGCACCATCCATTCAATTCATTTTGCAATACCAACCCGAAATTTCAGAACAAGTAAAAGGTAGATTTTAGCAAAAGTTATTACTGAAAAATAATTAAGGCAACATCAAAATTCAATAGCTCCCCAAATTGACTAATTTATGTTTTAGTAGGAATAAATCATAGTACATAATAATAAAAGGTTTAATTAAGTTAAAATATGAAGGGCGAAAATATGAAACAAAAAACCCAACCCAACCCTTAAATCTGTCAATTATTACAAATAAATTTAGAAAAAGAAAAGAATCAGTGTGCATGTAAGCAGTTACATTTTTCCATCAGGTGTGGTGTTGCAAATTTTATGGACACCCAAGGCATTTCTTATAAACAATAACTGCAGAACTAAACTAACCTCGGTCTGCGGTCACAATCCTTTGGTAAGGATGGACACGCATATCGTGCCTTCGAACTTTAGTAGCCACCGCACCTAGTTAAATTGCAATTACCAAGACAAAGTTAGAAAACATTCATGAGGAGGGAAAAACAAAACAAAACAAAACAAAACATTAACAGCAGGTTTATCAAAATGGATTTCAAATATTCATTTACTACAAAAGTTTGCTTTAAGAAACACGTTAAGGCACAGTAGTTTTAATATTACCCTAATATGTCACATATATATGCATCTATTAATATTGCATTCATTTCAAATATCTTGGCCTTAACCTAGTTTATCCATTTCATTTACATTTCCCAAGTTACAGTATCTCATGAGCTCTATTAGATCCAAACATATTCAAGCTTTACTAGTCACATATTCACTGAAGTGCCTTTCTTGCAGCAGGACTACTTAATGCCGTGTTTAATACTGACAATTATTTGCTAACCTTAAGACAACTTCTAGAGTTTACCACTTAAAAAGGTTTAAAAGCATTCTTAAAGCCTACAGATTGTGGTTTTAAACTTTGAGTCAATAAGTATGAACTGCAATGAATTAGGTGATTAGTAAAGCAAACAGTATAGTACACTTAGCAGTCAGTATACTACTATACACTCCTTTATAAATTACCGTTACTTTGTCATATTGCAGACTAAACCAAATTAAGCATAATTTTACTTTATATCTATGTGCAAAAAGTGCAAGTAAGTCACTGACTGCTAGGCTAAGCTTTTTTTTCCCCCGGAGGCTGCTGAGACTAAGCATTTGTTAAATTCAGATCTGATGAGGGTTCAGTTAAGACCGTTCTTGAATTCTTAGCCTTTCGTTGGGAAAGCCATACCTAAAGATAAAAGGAAGGGAATTAAAAATTAGTCATCAATGAAGATTTGATGCTAATACCAATCTCCTCACTACCACCAACACACATGTCTGCATCTGTTTTGAAGGGCACTGCTTATTTTAAAAGTAATTTAATGTGAGACTTGATATATAGCATGCATGTTATCTGTGTGCAGATTTATTATAACTTAGCAATTTAAAATAATTTTTTCAGTTTTCCAAGTGGTCGATATCATGTTTTACTGCTTAGGTGGCAAAGCAAGAAATAATGATTATAATGAATTTTTTTCACTTAGTACTATTAATCATCATGAATGCCAACTAGGCACCTGCATAGTTTATTCTTAATTTTGCCCATCTAATCCTTAAGCTTTTATATATAAAAATTTCCCGACAACAAAAAAAATCATGTTCTACAATGAGAAACAAGTTTTACTGCAGTGCCTGTTGCTGTTTCTAAGCAGTAAACTGGTCCATCACCCTTTTTAATTTTAGATAAGCTAGTCATATGTAAGTATAACTCCATGTGGCAAAATCAGGGAGCTCTTGCATTGAAAACGCTAGAATAGCAGCTGGTGGCTAAGAGCCCCAACCCTACAGGAACTCAAGTCATAACTCCTCAGGGAACAGATGCTGTGGGTGCAGCAGAGAGGAGTTCAGGGGGAAGGAGCATGCACAGGGCCACAGGACAGAGTATTAATAGAAAGGAAAACTTAAACAAGGTTACAGGTTACATGTTATTCTAAAAATGCTTCAAGAAATGTGCAACAGAAACAAGCCTCTCATAAACAGTTCTCTGGTATAATTCTGACCTATAATTACTTTATACAATGATTTAGAGATAAACGGAAAACATACACAATAAATTGTATTTGTTCATAAAACAAAAGGCACCTGAGTGCATGCACACACACAGATAACATACAGAGCATTCTGGATTTCTTTAATTGAACAATGAATTTTTAAGTTTAAATCTTAGTGTCCAGTGTCCATTAAAAACTTTCAAATCTTTATAAATCAGTATTAATGCTGGAAAAAAAACACCTTAAATGATCAAAGTCCTAAAAGTCAACAGCATGCATGCAGCACCAAGGTCATATACAATTCAGGGAAAAAAAAAAGTATTCAAATTGTGTCTGGTAAAACAAAGGGGTTGCACAGAAACAGTCTGTTCCACATTGACTGGTCGTGTTATAACAGCTGCTGTATTCTAGTCCTTCCTCCAGCAAGTCAATGGGCTGAAATATCAGGCATGACTGGCATTTCAATCCACTCTATAAAAAAAAGGCAGCAGTAATGTCTTTTTCGAGCACACCACTTTTTTGTTCATGTAAAACCAAGTGTTCAAAGAATGACCTTAATTTTTGCCTCAAGTGTGATTCTGAATCAGACGTGGTATTTACTGACATAACAATATTGTACTACTGAAATTAAGAGTAGCTCTCATGTTTAATTAACTAGGACTTAGAAAGACAGAAACTGAAAAATCTTAAGAATGCAACTATTTATCTAGCCCCTTTCGTATTTGAAGTGATCGCAAATATTTTAAAACACACACAATATCACCTTATAAACATCTGAAAATACTTTTACACAGAAATTTAAAATTAAGCTAACAAGTAAATACACTAAATACATGTGAGACAATAGAATCTAACTTTGGAAGATGAAACTAAAAGAGACTAGTAGGCCAAGGAGATGGGGCTTTAAATTCAGAATGGCCTCAGTAACATCAAATGTGAAGAGTATTTTCTGTTTGAAATACATATAACAAATTTACCCAAACTGATTCCGAGTTACCAAACTGAATCTGAAGACATTTAAAGTGCAATTATTTAAAAAAGGAACCCTATGAGAGACTGAAATAAAGACAAAATTTAGTTTTTAGTCTTGCCTAATGGTAACTTGTCTTGACTTTCTAAAACTGATTAAATCACTGCAATGTCTGGGGCAGCAAAGTTTATGAAGAAAAAAGTTTTTAACCACACAGGGAGAACTTACCTAATACGCCACTAGGTTCAATAGGATACTCAAGGATTGATGTAGCTGGTGCCAACGTGTAGGGGTATTCATAGGGCGTGTAGATTAAACCAGCTTCGGGCCCTGGAGGAACTATTGCAGCAGTTGGGTGAGGAGTTCCGTTTGGCATGACAGCGGTCTGTATCTGTCTGATCAAAGGCATTATGGTAGGGCCAGCTGGCGTAGGAGTACGCAGGGCAGCTGGTGGGAGAACAGGCGCTGGCCCAGTAATGATCCTTGGAGCAGCCTGGGCTGTTGCTGCAAGAGAAAAGGCAAGGGCTGCTACAGTAAGCAAAGAAATTCAGAGAGAAGGTGTAGAGATAGCAGTATAACATATGGAAAAATGAGAGAGGAGTAGGAGAAAGAAAGGAAAAAGCAGGAAAAAGGAAAAATAAAAGGAAATAATTAGTACATGCGCTGATCACACAAAAATGCCACAGCACACCACTTAAATGCAAACAGCTTTCCCTTTCCCAAACTGAATTAAGAATAAATGTACAAAAATTTAAAAGTTACTGTAAAAAAAAAGACCATTAAAATAGGTTATATATAGCTCATATACTGGATAAATCTGTGTTTTTAACACTTCATGAAAATAAAGATGCATGCAGAAGCACAAGAGAACATTTGCATTAAAAGATGTTAAAAAAATAATTGGTAATTGGAGTCCACAGAAACAGTTTTGGTATGTGTCCAAAGTATATTCAGTTTCAGAGGAAGAGTAATTTTCATTGTATTAAGTTGGCCAAACTAATAAGTGTATATACAAATTTCCTGAATCTTTAGAAATGAGCTTCACAGGAAAACAATATGAAAAAGTCCCATTTTTAAATTCCTGACTATTAATGATATACTCACATTCTCATGAATAAATTAAAGCCAACTATTTGTAAGTACTATACATCTAAGCCTATTGTCTGGAAAGTTGGTTAGGACTTTAAAATCCTATTTCCTTTAATAATTAGTAATTTATACATACTATGTTCATATAAATGACGTGTAGACCTTAGATTGTCTGAAAATATAAATTTCACATTATCTCCTTTAAATAAAGAAAAACAATCCTCTTATGGCTTATAAAAACATGTATAGGTAAATACTGGGTCATTGGGTCATGACACATTTTTGCATAGAAAAACATCGAAAAATACATCATGACAACCTAATAGAAAGGAAAAAATGGAACTGAAAATAGAAATCACCCACTGATTTCTGTGAACTCACATATGAAATCAATAAGGGCAAAATACTGGAGGGACAACATGCAAGCAAGATGAGAGGCTGAAAGAATCCAACAGAAAGGTCATTTCATTCAGATATACTTCAAATTAGAAAAAAATGGGTTTCAAAATTTTGTCTTCTGCATAAAGGTAAAAAAATAAGCTGGAAGCTTTAAACCTGAAATTAAAAGAGTGGGAAATTTCTTGCAATATTTTTTTAATTGCTAAAGGGGGTATGCAATTGTTAGAGGAAGACAGAGGGAGAGGGCAAGAGAGCACCCCCAACTGGGGCTGGTCGTACCACAATCCCTTGCCCTCATGCTATGGGTAAGATTCAAACCATAACTAACCATGTGAGGACTGGTTCCCCCAGCCACTAGGCTATAAGCGCCAGTCCAAAACTCTTGAACTCAGTAGTTGATATTTCATCAAAAGAATTAAAATTTATAAATACAAAACTTACACGTGCTGGCATAAAATAAAATCAAGATAGTATTCTGAATTCACCAAAATATTAAAAATAGAACTATTAATCCCAAATGAAGTGAGACAATCACTTCAATGCTCACTTCCACTATTCATGTGTTGTGCTGCCAAAAGGAGAAAGCTTGATAGACTAAACAGCTAAAAAAGGCTATAACCCTGGGCCTCAGGATCATTCTTACGTGATTTAATGTTGGCATCTCTGTAGGTGCCATTCAGAATCGCAAGCTCCATCAGCTGCATCTTCTTCAGGCTGTCCTCTCCTTCTGCCTGTAAAAGGAAAACACAAGAGCAGCAGCATTTGAGACAGCCCACATACATCACAGCTGTGTCCACACCAAAGCCTTAAGACAGGTGTCATGAAACTACAGCCACCTACTTAAATCGGAGAAAACAGAGGGGGGACCCTGCAACCATTCTCCCAGTGGATGTGTGGGTGTGTGGTTGTGTGTACATGCGTGCATAAGCACATGGGACACTCTCAATGGCAGCCAGCTGCAAGTCTATTTGTAAGATGTCTAGGTAAGCTATACTATGATTTATTAAAGTTCTCCTGAAAAACTTTGCTTTTAAATGAAATGAAAGTAAGATTAAATACAGCATATTATCTTCATCATCTACTACTCTGCAGAATATTCCAAAACTCAGATGTGCTCATTAATAGGGAAGGGAAAAAAACACTGTATTTTAAACATACAAAATTTGAATGTGATATTCAGGCAAGGGATTTTATGATTACTCCCTCCAAAATGAAAATTTAGTGAAATTATAATAGTTATAAGAATAATTGGACCAGTCCTTGGCATAGTGGTATAGGGAACTAGAGCCCACATGGCTAACTGTACGGCTGGGGACTTGACACAGGGGCTTGAGTAACACTGGGCACATGTGTGTGGATGCCCAAAGGCCAGAAAGGAGAAGGGACTATGGTGTGACGCTCCCTGCAAAGAGGTGCTTTCTCGCTTTTTCCCTTCCTCCCACTTTGAACAAACACACCTTCTGGCAAAATTTTTATTTTAAATTTTTTTTTCCTAAAAATTGTATATTCTGCTCTCTTAATGCTTGTCCATCTTCTTCCTCAATCAAATTAAGAACTATCGATTTTATGACACTCACCCCAACATCAATATATGATATACTGTCCTAACCAGGAAACATTTAAAAGCAAAACAGGGACACTAATAATTACGCTACAAAGAGACATAAACCTGGACTGTCTCTTATCAACAAAATGTCTGGCAACCCCATTTACCTTAGATTCAAACCACCCTTCCCATTTACTGTTGTTACCCTTGTTTTTAATCATTACTGACGAAATACTGAAAGTATCGACATATTCTATTGTATTAATGGTGTCTGTTCTGTTTTCTTACTATCTAGAAATATGTCTTAAGCTACTTATGATCTGATCCCAAACTATTTCAAGTTAAACCGATTAATCTACCACTACTCTATACACAAACCTAATGTTACCAATCAAACCAGGTTGCTCCCCATTATTCACCTTTCTTCAATTTTCCCTTCCTCCACTGCAAATATTCCTTTGTATTCCATTCTACTCCCTCCTTCCAAATGCTACCTTCTCCAAGGCCACTCTTACTATATGATGTTGCTGCTTGGAATAGCAAGGCTCACAAAATAAATTCTGTGACAATAGAGCCTATTTCTTATGCATCACTGCCTAATCCTGGACAACCCCTCTGGCCCAAGGTATTTGCTAGGACTATTTATTTTTAGGAATTATTTTCACATATCTCTCTCTGTCTATTTTTTACTCAGTCATAGTGACCAGGTCTGGGACTCGAACCTGGTCGGCCATGTGGGAGTTCAGCACCCTTAACCACCATGCAACCTGCTGCTGGATCCGTTAGGACTAACTCTTTAAATGATAGGTGTGAAAACTCTATTCTAAGTCCTAAGTGTATAAGTCCTGTAAAACAAACTTTAACTAGTCCCAAAGGATGCATGCAGTAAGGCCAACAGAATGGGTGGAGATAAAGGTGGATTCCACAGGGCTGACTGCACAGTTCCAGCCCCAGACCTGGAGACTGAGGACAAAAGATGGTGGGTGGCCTGGCCATCACCCCTGGGGGTTGATTTCCCATGCTGCATTTTATCCTCTCTGCATTTTATTCCCTCTCTTCTCTCTGCTGCAAGGGCACACACCCTTTAGCAAACTAAAGGGGAAAAAAGTAGACAATAAAATAAGGAAATAGATGAAGGCACATCTATTAAGGCTTTCCCTAAAATGGCAGGAAAGAGAGAACTAATTGCCCTTGCTTTTATCCGTTACCTAATTCAGGACTTATTATTTAAAAAGAAAGTAACATAATGATATTTTGTTTTATATATATAATTTTGTTCTTCCCTGATTCAAAAAAGGGACAGGATTAGGACAAATGACAAGCTTCTCAGTGTTTCTTCCTATCGTAACTGAAACAATCAGTACACAGACATCTCTGTGGCACTGAGCAGTGGGTGGCATACACAATATGTAATAAGCAGAACTGCTGAGGGAAATTTTAATAAATCTTTCAAAGAACTGAAGGAAAAAAATGAGCTACAACAGGAAGTGAAGAATCAGAAATCGACTATGATAAAATTAATTGGTTCACTAAAAATGGACACTGAAACTTAAAACTGATTAAGAATTGTTTCAAACAAGTTTACAGCAATGGAAGAGTACCAAAAGTTTTATAAATGATACTCTGTAGAAACAAAAAGGGAAGTAGTAAGTCTTCTCCAGTGAGAAAGCGGTGGTGCAAGACTGAAAACGTCAGCAACTTAAGAGGGCAAGTTTACTTCCATTAAAGGAGTAAAGATGAAAGAAGAGTCTTGTGCAGAGAATGGGTACTTGAAAGCATGTCTGAATTGAATTGCTTTTGGATAACTAAATAACCACTCATTAGTTGGTGAGGGGATGTCAAATATGGGAAAAAGCCAAAGAGAAAGATGGCGGAAGAAATGCACGTGTGAGCACACATACGTCTCTTACAGTGTGCAGAGTACTGGCAACAGCAGAGATAGCCACAAAAGGGAAATAACAATTAGAGCAGTGCAGCCTTCACTAGAGATGTTGGTGCAGCCTGCCGCAATGACATCACTGGAGGTGACAGTGTTACACTGGATTATGGAGGACGTTATGGGGGCTACACTACTGCCTCCCAGAGAGCCAGGATGTGGTGAGTAGACCTGGAATCTGAACCAGGTGGTCTCACTCCAAGATGAGATTTGCCCTCGGGTCCTTCCTATGCGTACCAATCTACATTTTCATGAGCATGGTGCTGTGTGTCTCCAGACAACAGAGTTCATTTCAGAACTGCTTTAACACGGAAGTGGTTGTTTCAACCCTGTAGTCCTGGTTTCTACTACAAACTGAGCAGCACACACTTGCCCTCACACTGTTGGAAGGAGTATGCTACTTTTTTTTTCAAAACCAAGTTCAGATAAGAAGCCTTTACTAGCCAGACTTTAGACCAGGAGTTTATCTGACCTCTCTTCTTCTCTCAAACACAGAAAAAAAAAAAAAAGACAGCAAACTGGTCAAATAAAAATGTCTTCATGTTGTACATCTCAACTCTCAACATTCCACAAGGTGTGTTACAGAATCCTGATCAGGGACAACCACCTCTAGGGAGATGGAACACTGACTTCTTTTGTTTTAGGTTTTGGCAATAGGGCACATGTGTTCTCCAGAGAGAGAAAGAGTGGGGGAGGGGAAAGAGAGGGAGAGAGAGGAGGAGGGGATAAGGGGGAGAGAGAAGAGGGAGAAGGAGAGAGGGAGAGAGGGAGAGAGGGAGGAAGGGAGGGAGGGAGGGAGAGGCAGTGAAAGGGAAATTGAGAAATCTCCTCCCAAGGGGGATGGCCACATCACAATCCCTTCTCCTTCATTCTCCTCTCAGGATTTTAGGCACACACACATACATGTCCAGCATGATTTTAAAACTGCCAAGTCCAGGATTTGAACCACAATAGGCCATATGGGATTCTACTGTCTTAACTACTATGCCACCTGCTGGCCCCTGACATTCCATTTTAACAATGGAAACTGCTCTTAAGAAACCAACACGAGGTCATAAAGTCATATTTTACAAAGTCGAATTTATCAAGTGTTCGTCTGGAATTTTAGAACTTCTAAGTATTTTTCCTTTATCATTTAAAAAATTAAGGTGTAATTTACATGCAATGAAACCACGTGATCTTAAGTGCTGCATTCATTCTGTTCTAGTGAATGTACATCAAGTCACCAGGACATTTCCCCTAAGCCAGAAAAGCCCCTTTGTGCCTCAAGTCCCAACAACCAGTCTGATTTCATCAGTCAGTTTACTTTGCCTATTCTAGAATTTCATACAGTGAAGTCATATGATATTTTGTGTCCAGTTCTTTTTGGCATATTAATATCCTCATATCCTGCAAGTATGAGTATTCTTTTCAATGACTGAGTCTGAGTAGTGTTTTTGTTTCCATTCTCCCACTACAGACATTTGGTTGTTTTTAGCTTTTTTAGATATTATATTAAAAAAGCCATTATGAAAATTCCTGTATAAGGCTTTTAGTAGAATATAAATTTTCATTTATCTTGGATCCCCACCTAGGAAGCTGCTGGGTCACAAGGTGGATAAATATTTCCCATAGAAATTATGCAAAATAGTACTACTAAAGCATTATAAATAACACTTTTACTTTTGAAATGTAAATGTTGAAATCCATAACACACATTTGTTAATAGCCAAAAGTTGTGGCATCAGAGAAGTGTCCTAAACATTTCACCACTTTTCAGATTTGTAGAAAGTTAATAGATTAAACAGTAGTCCCAGCAGGGTCTGGGAGAACATTTCCTATAATCCAGTCTGTAACACACAGAAAGATAAACTAAGGGGGGCAAAGACCAATTATAAACACTCTTTTGAACTTCTGAGGGTTTGCAATTATGGATGAGATTGCGGATCTGTGTAAATATTTTATAGGTACACTATCAGCTGAATTTAATGGCTAAGTTAAAGTGACAAATAAGTCATGTAATTTAATAATGAGTTATAGGGTTTTACATTACAAGCAGAACAATTTAAAGATTGTTCTACTTTATTAGAACAACATATTAGTTTTCATCATCTAAGCATTTCGTTTAAACTATGATACTGGTATTATACATCCTTTAGGTTCAGATAGGCTAGGAAGCTTATCCAAAGCTACACAAGGTCACAGGGCAAAACTGGCTCCCAATCCAGAGTATCCAATTCAAAGTGCTCATGTTTAACTACTACATCAGA